TTGTCATGTCCCTTGACACTCCTTGACCAACGGTGCTCAGACTCCAGTGGGAATCACTGGAGTGAGGTCAGTGTGTCTCCAGGAAGAAAACCAAAGTCTACCACCCAACAGGTGATGGATGAGTCCCATTTCATGACAGCCTGACAGCCAGATGGATCTTATATCTCCAGTCAGTCCCAGCTCCCTTCCAGTTGTTTTAATTAAATGGCCAAACCAAACACCAAACCAAACTCATTGCCGACTCATAGTGACCCCTCCTTGGGTTTCCGAGGCAGTATTTCTACGGAAGTCGACTGTCCAATCTTCCTTCTGAGAATTAAAATGGCAAGGAATGAATAAAGACTGCAATTATAGAAGGAGAGGAAAAATCAAGACAGTTGCCCCACACTCCCCCCAACCTGCTGCCCCAACCAAATTTCTGGATGGGCACTGATAAGAATCACAGCTGATTTCTGGAGAAGTACAGAAGCAATCCCAGCGTAACTCTAGGTGGACAGTGTTAGAATTACAGCCAATATCATGGTCAACACCAATACCATTAGAATGGAATTCCGCATGACACTGATATATCAGACATGACTTATAGATCAATGCTGATACACTCAGAAGAGATTATGGAATGAATATTAAACAATTACAGAATAAAGTGATGACGCTATTAAGATGCAGGAGATGGTAACAGGTCTTTAGAAGTCAGACTGAGGAGGTTCAGTGGACCCTGGTTAAAGGACAGAAGATACTCACAGGTGGCCTTTATGGTCATGCACTGTCCTTCATCTTAGGCTTGGAAGGAGTAGGATCAAAATGCCCATGGCCACCTCCAACAGTTGTGTGAGTGGCGGTAAAGGCGAGCTGATCCTAGTAAAGCAAGCCTGAAGGGAGACAGGCAGTGGGAGGGAAACTTCGGGGGAGAAATGTTCTCCATTTACTACCATAGAAGAACTGATCTCTGCAAACCAGGGAGGCAACATAAGAGGGCTTCCCCAGGCTAGAAAGGTAGGGAGTCGGTCAGTGAAGGAGGCCAGAGGGGAAATGGGGAGGTGGAAGGGCCTCAAACCCTCTCCTGCCCCCTCCTGCCCCTTGCCAAAGACCCCAGCCACAGAGATCTCCAATCCCTACAATATCAAACTTTCGGTAAAAGGAGATGAAATCAGTGAGGCTTCTTCTGTCTTCCAAAGGATCAAGCAAGAATGGAGCAGTGTCTCCTCAAGGGGCAATCTGCAAGCATTAAAGGACCAAGTCAACAGCTGGCCCCCAGCTGATCCCTGCCCCTGAAGGACAGCCTTGCCACTTGACTGATCTCCCAAGTAATTTGGGCAAATCACCAGCTCCCTCCCTGATTCTCACTTGTAAGGGAAGAGGTTGGAATGGATAATGTCCATGAGTTCCTCCATCATTAAGAATCTGTTTCCAACTCTCAGAAACAGCCAATAGCCTTCATACAGGCTAACGAGTCATAGTTATAAAATTATAACTATTTTATACTATAACGAGTCATAGTACAAAATTAATACTTGCTTATTGTAGAACTTTAGAAAAGAGCAAAATATATTTTAAAAAAAAAGATATCTCATGTGATCCCATCGTCCACAAAAAAAAAAAAAATTGTTAGCCTTTTGGAAACTTCCAGGTTTGTTTGTTGTTTTCTGCATTCATATCCTTCTTAACAAAATTGGGATCATAGTCTATACAATTTTTTTCCTGATTGTTTTCCCTCTCAGGCCATGAGCATTTTCCCAAGTCATCAAATATTCTTCAAAAACATCATGTTAATGAGTGTATAGTAATCCACCAAGAGAATGTAGCGAGATTACTGGGCATCTACTATTGGGTTTTTTGTATAAATAACACTGCCATGAACATCCTAGACTAGTGGGTAAGTATTTGCTCACATTTTCATTTTGTTAGAATCAATTTCTTAAACCAGAATTACAAGGTCAATGAATGATATTTTAAAACGGCCTTGCCATGTAGTGCCATATTCATTTCCTGAAAGATACAACAAACCCATTGACTCTCCTGAGCCAAAGAAGAGCTGTAGTTCTGAAAGAGTTGGAGATAGAACACAGGACAGAAGTCTTGTCTCTCTTCTCCCCCAATCTTGAAGCTTAACTGTCCAGTGAAACAGTGGCCCGAATGCCAAGTTGGAAGACATACATGTGCAACCCAGTTCCACCACTTGCTGGCTTTGGACCTGAAACAAGCCTTGGTCCTCCTCAACTGTACAATGGGTCTGATTAGCTCTGCTCTGTTGACTATCCAGAGCAGTGTACGTGGTCACATGAAAAGGCATTTGTGAAAGTTATCTCTAGACTTGAATGCTTCATGTCAAAGGACATTTCTATTATCCTCATATCCTGGGTGGAGGGGCATGACAAAGTGGGTTGTCTTTTGTGGAATCCCAAGGGCCTCCCTTTCTGGCCCTGAGATGATCTACAAGATACTCTCAGCTATCAGAATGTCCAAGACAAGTGCAGAGGTTCTGATGGAGATGGAAAAGCAATTTCCTGAAAGGAATGAGTGGGTCTGTGGGCCAGAAGACCCAAGGTGTTTCCCAAAGGTCAGAGATAGCAATGGAAGCTGTGAGGCCATGAGGTTCTGCCTAGGATCCCTTTGGTGGGGCAGGGGGAATTAGAGGACAAACACCTTCCTGAAATGTCTCCCTGTTTCAAGGGGCCCAGCCCCTCCTTTCTAGGGTTCCAACTGGACATCTGGCCTTTGGGGAAGTGGAAAACCAAGCTAGTTAGGTGGATGCAAAAAGTCAACAGCTTCAGAGGACCCATCAGCTCTGGTCCCTTCTCCCAGGCTGCTGTCAGTCATTTCTGGATTTTTCAGACCTTCCCATTGGAAATGCAACTAGTGCTTCCAGCCTGACTGTCCACCCTGGACCTCCCCATGAGAAGTGCTGCTGGCTGGCCTAGCATCCTGCCACACTCCCCTCTCCATCCGACAAATGCCCTTCCTGTCCTTCCTTCCCCAGCCCTGCACGCTTACCTGCGACCTGAGGGGACGCCAGTGACGTTCCCAGTGTTGTCAGGGAGAACTGCGCAGACCCCACAAACGCCATCCTCGCTTCTCCTCACCACCACCAGCAGCCCCCCACCCTCAGTCCATCTCCATTGCCAGCTGTGCATCTCCAGTGTCCAAATATGCACAACAGGTGGCACCTGTCCGTCCTTCCCTCCCATGCCTCTCCACCTGCCCCTCCAGCTGCGCCCCAGTCCTCCAGCCGCGCCTTACCTTTCAGGTTCTGGGGGTGGCCCCGCGGCGCCCTGCTCGGGTTTCCTCGGGGCAGAGAGGGGATGTTGGAGAAGTTGTTACCCATGGCATCCGGCCCCAGAGGGTTCTGGCACTCGCAGGGGGGCAGGCGAGGCTAGGCAGGAGCCGAGGTGCAGTGTGAAAGTGGGTGCGCGCTCCGGTGCGCGCTGCCGGGGGAGGGCCCCGCTGGGGCTGCACCCGTCTGCTCTTCTCCGCCCTGTCTCTGGGCTTGGCGGTCTTCCGCGGGTCCTGCCCGCGCCGGGTGGCCTCGCTCGAGCCGGCTACTTGCCTCCCATTCCCCTCGGCAGGGGCGGAGACCGCGGGCGGGCCCGTGGGCGGGGGCGGGCAGCGCCCTCGGCTCCCCTCTTCCTCCCGCTGGCGCTCCGGTTCCGGCTGGCAATGGGTGGCGCGGGGGCTCCGGCGCGCTCCCCAGGGGCCATAGAGTCAGGACCCCCGGCGCAGGCACTCAGCGGCTCGGCAGGCTCGGGGTCGCCAGCTGGGCGGCAGGCTCTCTCCCCGCCCGCGGGGATGGCCGCTACGGCGACGTGCGTGACCCCCTCCTGCCGGCGGATCTGCATGGAGCAGGGCTCCGTGGGGCGCGAGGCGTACTGGGCGCTCCCGCCGTGCTTGGTGTCCCCCAGCTGTCTCCTCGCGCCCCCGCCGGGTCCCTCCCGCGACCGCCGCCCCGGCCGCCCCCCACCCCTCGCCCACAAGCCGTCGCCCGCGTTCCCTGGTTCTGGTTGTTATGGTGACAGCTGCGCCGGTGAATAAGCGTCTTAGTGACACGCGCGCGCGCCCGCTCGGCCAGATGTAGCTCCAGGGAGCGCCGCATTCCCGCTCGCCACCTGTTCTCCACAGAGCGGGGTTTCAGGCCTCAGTGGGGCTAGAGCGAATTGGGGCGCCAGGGACTGGGATTATTCCTTTCACAGAACTGTGGAACTTGTTACTGAAACAACAAGAACATTGAGCTCCCTGGAGGCCAAGGAACTAGAGAGGTAACACTAATTTACAACTATTTCCCTGGTACCAGGCACAGGGCTTGGCACATAGTAGAGGTCAAGAAACTTTTTTAAATGAGTGAATGAATGATTGAATAAATGACTTGAGATTAGGAACCCCAGTCCTTGACCGTCAGTTGGTCCTCAGTCCGATCTGAAGGAGACCTGGGGTAGGGGGCTCAGAAAAAGAACTCCAGGCTGTCCAATCACTGGACAAACAGCAATGGATGTATACATACCTACAAGACTGTATGGCTGGACAAGCTGGGGGAACAGACCATAAATACAAAACCATCAGAGAACCACCAACTCCCAACTTAGTGGTTCTGACAGCTATGAGAGGTCAGAGGAGGGGATGTTTTGGTCTGTAGCAGTCAAAGAAGGCTTCCTGGAGGAAGGGAGGTTTAGCAAGCCTCATATTCACATGATTTTTCCATCAGTGTAGCCAGCTCAGAGGTGAGCTCAGCACTGCTACCAGGAAGCCTGCAGAAAGGGGAAGGGAAGTCATTCTCCTCCAATCTGGTCCTGGAACATCTCCTCCTAGGCTGTCAAGAGTAGATGTACCAAGATCTTCAAGAAAGAGAATCAGTCTCCATGCTCCTCTGGCACCCTGATCTGGCTAAAGTAGCCCTAACCTGGAGTCCAGAAAAGGCATGAGCTACCAATGGTCATCTCAGCCATCCTCTTATGGAAGGTTCTTCCTCCATGTGTCCAAGTCGTGGCCAGTTTGTGTGTCATTTCCTGATTTTCTTTGACCACCCCAACTGAAGAACCCCACCGCTCTCAGTTCCATACCATCTTTCTGTTTTATTTTCTTCACCACTTTGATATGCAATCAGTTTTAAAGTAGCTTTTTCCCCCTGTTATGGATTGAATTATGTCTCCCCAAAATCGTAACTAATATATCTGTGATTATAATCCCATTAGGGAATGAGTTGTCTTTGTTATGTTAATGGAGAAGGATTAGTGTAGGGTGTTATCAGTCTTCTTTGAGATACAGAAAAGATTAAACAAGGGAGAGAAGCAGAGATGAAGGAAGAGAGATGCCAAGCCACGTGAAGATCGCTTAGGAGCATGAGCTCAGAAGACAAGGACCCTCCCCCAGAGCTGACAAGTAGAGAAAGCCTTCCTCCTAGAACTGCACCCTGAATTCGGACTCCTAGCCTCCTAAACTGTGAGAAAATGGTTTCTGTTTGTTAAAGCTATCCACTTGTGGCATTTCTGTCATGGCAGCCCTAGATAGCTAAGAATTTGGTACCAGAAGAGTGGCATGCTACCCCAACAGATACTTAAAATGTGGAAGCAGTTTTGGAATTGGATAATAAGTAGAGACTGGAAGAGTTTTAAGTGCCCAATAGTAAAAGCCTTCATTGCCTACATTGCCTTGAAGAGACTGTTGGTGGAACTATTGTCATCAAAGGCAATTCTGGTGATGGCTCAGAAGGAAGTAAGGACAGCTATAAAGAAAGCTTCTGTCATCTTACAGAATACATATGGCACCAGGAGCAGAATGTTGCTAGACGTGGGGACATTAATTGTGCTCCTGGTGAAGCTTTAGAAGAAAACAATGAATGTGAGATTGGACAATGGAGGAAGAGCATGCTTTTTATGCAGTGGCAAAGAACTTATCTGAATTGTGTTCAAATGTTTGGAGAAAGGTAGAATTTATAAAAGATGAACTTTGTTAACTGGCTGATGAGATTTCTAAGCAAGATCTTAAAGGGGCTATGTGGTTTCTCCTTCCTACTTATAGTAAAATGTGAGAGGAAAGAGATGAACTTAAAAATGAACTATCCAAAATGAAAACAGAACTTAAAAATTTGGAAAATTCTGTTGTACAAACTAAGGACACATGTCGTAGAATGCTCACCAAGGATGTGACTACACAATCTTTTGTTAAGGAGATTACGCCTGTGAGTGATGGATCTAACCAACTACCACAGCAGAAAACTCATCAGCTTAGACTGAAGGGGACAGAAAAAGAATGAAAGGAAAGAACACTGCCCACCTATTGGAATTCTACTGTGGTAATTATGTTTGTGTGTCAACTTGGCTGGGTCTGGTTGAGTGGCTGGGGAGCTGGTGGTAGTTATTCCCCATGTTGAGACTGGCAATCAACTCCATGGTGGGATCTACCACAAGCAGCTGAGTAGCTGCCTTTGGGATGTGGTCTGCTTCCTGTATATAAGGAGAAGCCTTGGGAATGGTCTCTAGCCTATGGCATGCTTGGACCTTGCATATAGCCATGTCATTGCTCACCAGCCTGCTATGCTCTGCTGACCTTGGGACTTACAATGGACTTAAGTTAATGGCCTGCTATATGGTTTGGTAACATCAGGACTGTGCCTGATGTCAACCTTGGGGCTTCTCAGCCTCAGGAGCCAGCAGCTGTCTGAGTGAAGAAATGCCTCTAGCTCCAGTGGGTTGGGAGCAGGAGGCAGAGCTGGACCCCAAGGTTGAGGAGCTTTCACCCAGCCCCCAGAGCCTGGCACTTTGAACTCAGACTTAAAGCCTCCAAACTGTAAGAGAATAAATTCCTGTTTGTTAAGGCCATCCCATTTGTGGAATATTCTTGTCAGAGTGGCACTAGATAACCAGAACATGTACAGTCAGGAAACAGACCAAAGAAGCTACATCTGTTGTCCTCCAAGAAAAGGACCATCCCTGGAATAGCCTGGAGATCAACAGAACTGTTGGAAAGAACATGGGAAGCAGGGCCTTCTGGGTTTCAAAGGGTGGGGCCATGGTCTCCTGGATCTCAAATGGTGCGGCCACAACCTCCTAGCTTTCAAAGAGTAGGATCTTTGCCAACTTGGTTCTGGAGTGTGGGGCTGCCATTAAGGTGTGTTAGGGAGATGGGGCTGCTGCCCAAAACTGAGGACAAAAGGCTGCCATGCCCAAGGGGCAGAAGACCAGGACCTGCCAGAGCCAAGGAGGTGGGTTCACCATTCAGATAGACTAGGAGAATGGGGCCCACCCAAAGCCAAGGAAACAGAACTGCTCTCTCAGTGGGCCTAGAAGGCAGAGCTGAAGCCCAGGGCCAAGGGCCTTTTACTCAGAATCCAGAGGGCACAGCCAACACCCATGCTTTGGAGGTCAGTGTCATTGCCCAGATGGTCCCAAAGAACAGATGATTATTTTTAAGCCTTGAGAGCTACTGTAACTTGTTCTGCTGGGTTTTAGACTTGCTTGGTGCCCGTAATCCCTTCTTTTCCTCCAGTATCTCCCATTTGTAATGGACATGTCTGCCTTCTGCCTGTTCCACCACTGTACTTTAGAAACAGATAACTTGTAGTCTAGATTTCACAGGTTCACAGATGAAGAGGAATTTTGCCACAGGATAGAATACACCTAAAGTCTCACCCGTATTTGGTTTAGATGATTCAGAAGATGAGATTGGACTTGGAGTTGATTTAAGCCTTTTGAAATAATGTGATGGGGTGAATGTGTTTGGCATGTGGCAAGGACATGAATTGGGAAGGGGGTAGCCAAAGTGTGGAATGCTATGGATTGAATTATGTCCCCCTAAAATGTGTTGTAAATCCTAACCTCTATGCCTATGGTTATAATCTCATTTGGGAATGGGTTGTCTTTGCTATGTTAATGAGGCAGGATTAGTGTAAAGTGTATCTTCAGTCAATCTGTCTTCAGATATAAAAGAGATTAAACAAGTGATAGAAGGAGAGGTGGGTAAAGAGAAATGCCAATCACAAGAAGATCATCTAGGAGCACAAGCTTAGAAGAGACAAGAACTTTCCTTCAAAACTGACAGAGAAGGAAAGCCTTGCACTACAACTGGCACCCTGAATTCAGACTTCTAGCCTAACCCAAGCCAAGCCAGGGTATTTTCAATCGCCTCACCCAGTCTTCCTTCCAAGGAGTGGCTGGTGGATTTGAACCGCCAGCCTTCTGGTTAGCAGTCAAATGCCTTAGGCACTATGCTACCAGAGCCCCTGTGTGAGAGCTGGACAATGAATAAGGAAGACCGAAGAAGAGTTGATGCTTTTGAGTTGTGGTGTTGGTGAAGAATGCTGAAAGTACCATGGACTGCCAGAAGAACTAACAGATCTGTCCTGGAAGAAGTGCAGCCAGAATGTTCCTTGGAAGCAAGAATGGCCAGACGTCAAATCACCTACTTTGGTCATGTTGTCAGAAGGCACCATTCTCTGGAGAAGGATGTCATGCTTGGTGAAGTGGAGGGTCAATGAAAAAGGGGAAGGCCCTCAGCGAGATGGATTGACACTGTGGCTGCAATGATGGGCTCAAGTATAGCGAGGATTGTGAGGTTGGCACAGAACTGGGCAGTGTTTTGTTTTGTTGTACATAGGGTTGCTATGAGCCGGCCCTGACTGGATGGCACCTAACAACAACAAACTGTGAGAAAATAAATTTCTGTTTGTTAAAGCCATCCACTTGTGGTAGTTCTGTTACAGCAGCACCAGAGAACCACGACCCCCCCCCCTTGG